CTGTGATTATACTCCACCCACTGTGATTATACTCCACCCACTGTGATGAGGCAGAACCATAGGGAGCAGGCTGATGCAACTGAGCCCTCACCGGTTACTAACTAGCTAGGCAAGTCTCCATACTTTTTCCACCCTTGCCTGGCTTTTCTGTAAAGAAACAGGCTTAACTGAACAGATCTGTTGCCACCTGAAACTAACTCCCTCTACTACTCATCTGACAGTGGTTCCTAGAGTAAATTTCCACTTACCAATGAGAGTGTGCAAAGTTCCTTAGGCTGTGATCACTTTTTGTATAAGTGAATGTTACACAGCCCTATGTTCCCTGTTAGCTGTAACTGAGATTAATGTGCTTTGCCAAAACAACGACCAGTTTTCACTGAAATTTATCATCTCATTAGTGACCGAGTTTCTAAAGTTTCTAAACAGAGGGGATTTCTGTTTAGAAACCTGGAAAGCTAAAACTCCAAGACAGTGCCCCATTTATACTGGATCAGGACAGTTCACAGTACCTAAAATGGCCACCACCTCCTCATCCTGGATAACTTCCAAGGACCCAGACACCACAAAGCAGAGGGCATCCACACTTTCTCCAGCATGGTAAATCAGGTCCCCAGGAGCACAGTGAATGGTTTGGAACTCCACTGCCAAGGCACGCAGACATCCATCGCTGGCCAGTCGGAATGCAGGATGTTCATTAAAAACCTTCCGGTTCAGATGAACACAGATGTCAGCTCTCATGTCCTTGGGGCAGATGGAGAGGACCTGAAGAGAATGAGAAATGAGTAAGCAAATGGAAAAGGTAAAGGGACTATTTTAGAAGAAAACGATACCACACAACAAATGCTTATTAACCACTACTGTGTCCGCTAGACAAGGCGCTAGATGCCTGGAAAGTTAGACACAGGCCTGTCCTTCAGGAAACTGAAGTCTGGTGAGATGCACTGTCTAAGTATGGACATCTCAGCATCAGATCACACCACAACACAGCTTTTGTCACAGCACAGCAGCATGTGGTCAACACCTGAGAAATGTTTCCCTATCGCAACGGTGTCTTCAGTGGTCAGAAAGAATCTTGGCAAAAAAGTTATGGTCAGTCCTGAAAACGTGCACATAAGTAACATTATATTGACTGGGCAGACTGTATTCATTTATTTAGGAATGTTTTGAATATATACATATTCAAAGTGCTTTGAATATACATATTCAAAACATTCCTAAATATATATATATATATATATATATATATATATATATATATATATATCAACAGTTATAGAAAATGATGTCACAAATTTGGAAGAGAGTAAGGAGTGACATGGGAGGGTTTTAAGAGATGAAGGGGCAAATGATGTAATTATATTATAATTTCAAACATAAATTATAAAAATAAATAAATAAATAAATGAATAAATAAAAGTTAATATCCTCAAAGATAATTAGCATAAAATATTAGCATTCAAAGCAATCTAACCAGTAATTCAATGTAATTTTATAACTATACCAAGAATGAATGAGGTATGTTAGTACAGACAGGAAATAGATACATACTAGCTGACCATAAGAAGAGAAAATCAATACAAGTAGTCCAGCAACTCAACACTCTGAAGAATTGATATAAGACCCCTCACTCTCAAAATTTCTTCATTCTGAAGGATTTTCCTCTTATAAGCAAATGACTGTCCAAGAATAGAAAAGGGTTTACATCAGCACACCATGAAACACAGGCAACTTATCTCTAAGAAGGACAGACACAGTCTTGTGCATGTAAGTTTATTACAGGTTGCTGGGTTTAGGGTGGCAGAATTCAAACTCAAGGTGTCCTGAAGGAGGAACAAATGTCAGAAGCCTGGACAGCAAGGTATAGGGAGCTTTCTTTAACTGTAGCTTTCATAACTGAAGACCCAGAAATGAAACCAAACACCTATGGTCACTTGATCTTTGACAAAGGAGCTAAAACAATCCAGTGAGAAAAAGACAGCATTTTCAACAAATGGTGCTGGTTCAACTGGAGGTCAGCATGTAGAAGAATGCAAATAGATTCATTCTTATCTCTTTGTACAAAGCTCAGGTCCAAGTGGATCAAGGACCTACACATAAAACCAGATACACTGAAACTAATAGAAGAGAAAATGGGGAATAGCCTCGAATACTTGGACATAGGGGAAATTTTTCTGAACAGAACGCCAATGGCTTATGCTCTAAGATCAACAATTGATAAATGGGACCTCAAAAAATTGCAAAATTTCTGTAAGGCAAAGAACACTGTCAATAGGACAAAAATAGTAACCAACAGATTGGAAAAAGATCTTTACCAATCCCACATCTGATAGAGGGCTAATATCCAATATATACAAAGAACTCAAGAAATTAGACTCTAGACAACCAAACAACCCTATTAAAAATGGGGTACAGAGCTAAATGAAGAATTCTCAACTGAGAAATATCAAATGTCCAAGAAATACCTAAAGAAATGTTCCACATCCTTAGTCATTAGGGAAATGTAAATCAAAACAACCCTGAGATTCTACCTCACACCAGTTAGAATGGCTAAGACCAAAAACTAAGGTGACAGTAGATACTGTCAAGGATGTGGAGAAAGAGGAACAATCCTCCATTGTTGGTGGAATTGAAGCTGATACAAACACTCTGGAAATCAGTCTGGCAGTTCCTCAGAAAATTGGACATACTATTACCTGAGGACTCAGCTATACCACTTCTGGGCATATACCCAAATGATACTCCAACATATAACAAGGACACATGCTCCACTATGTTCATAGCAGCTTTATTTATAATATCCAGAAGCTGGAAAGAATCCAGATGTCCTTCAAAAGAGAAATGGATACAGAAAATGTGGTACATTAACACAATGGAGTACTACTCAGATATTAAAAACAATGACTTCATGAAATACGTAGGCAAATAGATGGAACTAGAAAATATCATCCTGAGTGAGATAACCCAGTCACAAAAGAACACATGTGGTATACACTCACTGATAAGTGGATATTAGCCCAAAAGCTCAAAATATTCAAGATACAATTCACAGACCACATGAAGTTCAAGAAGAAGGAAGACCAAAATGTGGATGATTCAGTCCTTCTTAGAAGAGAGAACAAATACTCACAGGAGGAAATGTGGAGACAAAGTATTGAGCAGAGACTGAAGGAAAGGCCATTCAGAGACTGCCCCACCTGGGGATCCATCTCATATACAGACACCAAACTCAGACACTATTGCAGATGCCAAGAAGTGCTTGCTGACAGGAGAAGCCTGATATAGCTGTCTCCTGAGAGGCTCTGCCAGAGACTGATAAATACAGAGGTGGATGCTCACAGCCCACCATTGGACTGAGCGTGGGGTCCCCAGTGAAGAGTTAGAGAAAGGACTGAACAAGCTGAAGGGGTTTACGACCCTCAGGAAGAACAACAATATTAACCAACCAGACACACCGCCCCCCCCCAGAGCTCCCAGGGACTAAACAACCAACCAGAGTATACATGGAGCAACCCATGGCTCCAGCTGAATATGTAGCAGAGGATGGCCTTGTCGGACATCAGTGGGAGGAGAGGGCCTTGGTCCCATGAAGGCTAAATGCCCCAGTGTAGGGGAATGCCAGGGTGGGGATGCCAGAGTGGGTGGGTGGGGCAGTACCCTCATAGAAGCAGGGAGAGGGGATGTGGGATAGGGGATTTCCCAAGGGAAAACCAGGAAAGGAGATAATATATAAAATGTAAATAAATAAAATATCCAATTTTTAAAAAAGAAAACCTATGTTAAAATGGATAGTATCTTCACTCATAGATTTTGTTTTTATTCTCTTACAGATTCATACATTCATGTCATGGGTTTTAGCTTTTCTCATCCCCTCTTTTTCTTGCTGAACCTTCTTCTTTGTGACAAGTGCCCCTCCAACTCTCAGGTTAGGATGCAATAATGTTCTGAGGGCTGCCTGTATGGGTATGAGCGGGAGGTTAGATCCTGGAGCATGTACTGCTTACCAGTGGCTACAACACTGAAGAAAATCGCATCTCTTCACCACAGCAGGGATTAACTGCCAGTGGTCTCTCTGTGAGAGGTAGGGCTACCATCAAACCCAATCAGAGACTCACAGAAGTCAAGACTGCCCGCCTGGCTGACACACGCAAAGGCTCTTTGCCTCTACCTCCTTGATAAACTAATTTTAATTAAGTTTTATTTGATAGGATCTCAGCCTTTCAAAGATAATGCTAAGTTGATTTTCCCATTCAATTATAATGAATTGTTAATTGTTAATGTAGAATAGTTTTCTTTCTTTTTTATGTTTTAGCTTTAGATTCCTGCCTTCCCCATGACTGGAAATATCCTGACTATTCCCGGTATTTATGTCTCACCTTGAACATAACACCAGCTGCTTCTCTGTCAGGAAAATCCGTCACACAGTGCCAAGTAATTGTGCTTTCTGGGTTCCTTCTCTTTCTTTTTCTTTCCTAAACTACATTTTATTTCATATCACATCCATCTCCATGGGCTTTTTCTTTTCATAATCTTTCAAATTCTTACAGATAACAGCCATCAGTTCACTCACCTTCTGAAATGTCTCCTCTTTGAAGAAACGAATGCCCTAATAGAGTCTAAAAAGCAGTTGGAGCTTCCCCGTGATAGCAGTGTCCAGTGATGATAATCAATATAGCAGCCCTTAAGGAGTCAGACAATACTGATCACTCAATAGGCACTTATCAGCTTCTATTATGTGTCACTGGTCAAATCCCTGGATATGTATGAACAGATATCATCCTTGCTGTAGAGGAGCTAACGGTGAGTTCAGAAGACAAACACGAAGAGACAGTCATGATGTGGGAGGAAATTACAATGGCAGGGACACAGGACCACAAGCCACCTGAGAGACTTGATTTATGGCTTACAGCATGAGGTCATAAGGCTGGGTTTAGGAGCCCAGGTTCAGCTAGATTACTAGCTCTGGAGTCTAGAGTGTTTTGATTGTTCCAGTCTTCATTTGTAAGCTAAGGATACTGAGCACTGGCAGTATATATTCACAGTAAGAGTTTAAGTTATCCTGCATAGACAGAGCTGAAGAAATGCTAGCCTTTATGAGCACTGTTAAGCATTATATTCCTATAGTTTGTCTTAGCTCTCTGTATAATCCATTGTCTTCAACCTCTGTTAAAAATCGAGGTTGTTTGATAAATTTTCAAAGAGAATTAAGGAAGTATTTCAATATAAATCTGAACATACTTCAAAAATAGGCTAAGATTAATATATTTTCAAATTGAGAATACAAAATATTTTTAAACATAAGCACATATAAATATTACATCAAATGGCACAAGGGAAAAATGAATTTCTCTGTTTATCCATTTAACAATAGGATTTTTATAGCTTTCAATTCTTTTTCAAAACAGTTTATTTTTTTTTTCATGATGCTAGGGATAAAACTCTGGGTCTTTTTTTCTAATGTGCATTAGTGTTTTACGTGCATGTATGTCTGTGTGAGGGTACCAGGTCTTCTGGAATTGGAATTAGAGACAGATGTCATGCCATGTGGGTGCAGGGAATTGAACCCAGATCTGCTGGAAGAGCAGCTAGTGCTCTTAACCATTGATACATCTCTCTAACCTTGGAAACGGTCATTTTATGCCATTTTAGTTATTTCTCTCAGGGCTGATATTGAAATTGGCATCTTCCAATTTTTAGAATAATCTGTTTACTAAATGATGACTTTCACTGTACTTTGTTTCACTCAACTTTTGATACTAAACTCA